ATGCTTGTGTCGAGTTACATCCCTTCGAAGATTCTAATTGGTAAGTGATCGTGGATGTTTTGCTTTCCTGGTGCGGTCCGTCTTTCATAGGTATGTTTCTGGTTTGATTTAGATCAGGGATACGTCTGGCAAACGTTCTATGGCAAATGTGTTTCTGTGTCTTATTGGAATGGCATGGTTTACATACCGTGTCCACTGTGATTTTTGTTTAGTATGTTCAAACACAGGTGGCTCCACTAGTGCTTAGTTACCATGTTTATCACACACACACACACACACAAACACACACACGCGTGCGAGTGTTTGTATGTGAGTGTGTGTGTGTGTATGTGTCCTACCCATCACACCTGTTTATAACTGGGTTTCGGAAGTTTTTATTCATTATTGTTATTAGTCTCTTATTAACATCATAATAATCATAATTCCAATCATAATAGTAATAGTATCGATATCAATACTAGAAAAAATCTCGAAAATTCAAGGAATGTAGAAATCAGGTGAGGCCTACGAAGTGACTCCTCGTTGGTTAAGCGCTTGTGGAACCATCTGTGAGCAAAAGCATTTACAAAAAATGTAGTGGACAGACAATACATGCACTCGCGACCAGTGGGTTAAATAGTCATTTTACATTTATGACCCATGTCTTAGAAATTATACCACAACAGCTACTGACGATGATAATATTACATTATCAGGAATCTATACATTTTTTTCTATTAATAACAACGACTAAAAACTACTGCACACCCTTGCATTAAAGATTCTACAGAGTCTGAACTCGCTTTCGTAAACAGCTGGTCTTAGCGGCGCAGGGAAGACTACCTTGCTGTACAAACTGAAGACAGGAAACGTGGCTCTTATGGAACCTACTGTTGGTAAGGAAATGAATAAAATATGTCTTGAGAGATTATCCTACGCGATGTCATTGAATACAAAAAAAAATGCAACAGTCACAACACGAAATGCTAAAATCAAACAAAACAAAACTGGTTCGTCTCTCTCAACCGAAGCCATCACGCGCTTAACCTAAACATACGCTCTTGTTTTCTACTTTTTTTTTCTTAAACTCCTCCACGTTTCAACTTCCTCAGACTTCAACATCGAAACGATCTCGTACAGAAACTTCAGCTTCACGATGTGGGACATAGGAGGACAGACAACGACTCCGGAACTGTATAAATACCACGTACATGAAATCGCCGCCATAATATACGTTGTGGATAGCTTGGCCTCGGACCGCATGGATGAGGCGAGGAGGCAGCTGGACATGGTGGTGAGTATTTTTATTATTATTTTGTTAGTTGGTTTGTTTTCTTGTTTTTATGTGTGTTTTTGTTTGGGTTTCTCTTTCTCGTGTGACTTCTTGTGTATGTTTTGTTTTCTATCTCAATTTTTCAGTCTGTTTTCTCTCTGTTGGCCAGCCCTACATCTGTCTGTCAGTCTGTGTCTGACTCTAACTCTAACTTCTCTCTCTCTCTCTCTCTCTCTCTCTCTCTCTCTCTCTCTCTCTCTCTCTCACTCTCTCTCTCTCTCTCTCTCTCTCTCTCTCTCTCTCTCTCTCTCTCTCTCTCTCTCTCTCTCTCTTTCCTCTCTCTCTCATCTCTCACACACCACACACACTCATTTTCTCCAATTTGTTATCAACTTCTCCTCAACAAATATATGATATCTCCTTACACCATTACACAATTCACTAAAATCACTCGTATCATTCGCGTATTTAACTCTGATTTCGAACACACTGACCGTAATATTCATGACATTCTACAAACAATGTCATTTATATAAAAAAACGTGTTATTTCGTTGCTTGGCGGCGCGAGAAAATGTATTGACGGATTTTAAGTCCAGTTTGGTATACTTTCCCTGACACACGCGCTCTCTGTGTCTGTCGGTTTGTTTCTTTGTTTCTTATGTGTTAGATTTTCTCTTCTATCTCAATATATGTATATTTATGTATATATATATATACATATATATACATATATATACATATATATATATTTATTTATTTATATGTGTACTATGTTGTATATGTTATGTATATATATATTCGATATATGATATATTATATATATATATATATATATGTTGTTATATGTTATATATGTACATGACACACACACACATGCACATACACACACACGCACACGCCACACGCACACAGCATCGCACTCGCACTCGCACTCGCACAGAACGCACAGCACACGCACACGCACACGCAACGCACACGCACACGCACACGCACACTCACACTGCAACACGCACACCACAACCACACACACACTCACACACACAACACACACACACACAACACACACACACACACGACACACACACACACACACACAACAGAATGAGAGAGAAAGAGTTAGAGAGTTAGAGGGTTAGAGAGTAGAGAGAGAGAGAGAGTTAGAGAGAGAGAGAGTTAGAGAGAGAGAGAGGTAGAGAAGTAGAGAGAGAAAGGTAGAGAGAAGAGAGGTAGAGAGAGAGAGAGTTAGAGAGAGAGAGAGTTAGAGAGAGAGAGAGTTAGAGAGAGAGAGAGAGTTAGAGAGAGAGAGAGTTAGAGAGAGAGAGAAGAGAGAGAGAGAGAGAGGGTTAGGGAGAGAGAGAGAGAGAGAGAGGGTTAGAGAGAGAGAGAGGGTTAGAGAGAGGAGAGAGGAGAGAGAGTTAAGAGGGAGAGAGTTAAGGGGAGAGAGAGAGGAGAGAGGGGAGATAAGAGAGAGAGAGAGAGAGAGAGAGAGAGAGAGAGAGAGAGAGAGAGAGAAGAGAGAGAGAGGAGAAAGGAAGAGAGAGAAGAGAGAGAGAGAGGGAGAAGGGAGAGAGGAGAGAGAGAGAGTTAGAAATGGAAATGTGGATTGCCAACAAAGATGTAATTACATATGGAAAGACACGCATACATGCCTTCTTTTAATAGTAGAGATAATGATTAATATGACTGTTTGTACCTTACATGCCATAGACAGAGAGACCTGTTACACATTTAAAGTCGATCGATAGCAGAGTACGGAGACAAATGACACTGTTGCGTAGTTATAAAGACGGTCTCCGACCGGGGACTGTAATTTCCCACGAGCACAAGGCCAGCGGGGCTCGAGACATTGATACGGTTAGGGCTCTGCAATAGGTCACGTCATTTAAGGGAACTAATAACTTCGATTATAACAAAATACACTGAGCAAGGCGGGTATTTAATGATGGTTGAAGGCTCTAGCGGACTAACTTTGAAAAGGCTTTTGCCAGGAAAGGGCGAGGGAAGTCATTCCCACACGCTTAGGGTCACCGGGACGGAAAATCTCGGGATTCCCTATGCTGGTGCTGGCCAAACAAAAGTAACGACCTTCCAGGGTGACCTCAGGCTGAACCTGATTTCGAGTCCCTGACCCTAACCGCACCAGAACCGTACCGTTGGCACGTGGCAGCCCACGAGTGCCCGTGTACGTCACAGGGCAGTTGACGGCATAGGAACGGGATGGACTGGCTTCTCACTGAGACTTACACGTTATTGAACAAGCCTTTGCGATCTGGATACTTGCGTGGCTTTAGAGGCGGACAAACTATTCATATATATTATGTTAATTTTTTAGCTTTAGTAGGCATTTTTTTTAAATTATATTTATTTTCCAGTTTATGGTCTAACTACTCATATATATTTTTTTGCGATTAATAATGCCTTTTTTATTAATTTATTTTTTTAAGGTTAGGGAACTAACTATTTCAATTGTATATTAATTAGTTATTTAGAAATTAATATTCTCTTTTTTATGATTTATTTTGAGGTTATAGGTACTAAGAATTATTCGAATATATTTTTTCAGATTAATATGCGCCCTTTGTTAAATTATTTTATTTTTAGGTTTACTACTTAAACTTTTCATAATATATATATTTTTGTCGAGATTAACTCTATGAGCATTTTTTGTGATTTACTAGTAATTTCTATTAGTATGTAAGTGCGTTTAGGTAGTGATATATTAGGTGGAGGTTAATTATTTGATAGCTATTAGTTTTCAGTGCATTCTCGATCTGTATCGGTTTGCGTGTCACCTCAGCTTTCATATAATAGTCTAGTCGTTTTATATAGCTGCTATGTTGGAATTTAAGACTAATCCATCCAGCGCCTTTCGTGTTGTGATGTAGTACGTATTTGACCGACGTTTTTATATAAGGATCGTACTGGTTGTATATTGACTATTAAGCACGAGTATATAAAGGAGTTCGTTCTTGCTAATTTATAATTTTACATAACTACAGAGCCATTCCTGTCTAGGTCGGTCCGAAATGGGTATACTACCATTATATATATTTCATTATTAATATTTTAATCTTATATATAATTATATTTTTTGTTCAGGAGGAGAGGAGCGCTGGTTATAGGGTAAATTGAGCTAACTCATTAAGAGTAACACACACTTGTATCTTAAGATGCTATACCACCGGTGCTGGGGTTTGAAAGCTATTACACCAACAATTTCTTAGGTCTATTAGAATTGTGGCTTGTCTGATGATTTCCTTAGGATAGACAGCTGCAGGAAATTGAGTAGCACAACTTATGTGATAAAATTCTTCGTGTATTTTCGGGATTAAATCACTCTCTCTTTATTTTTATTTATTTTTAGGGTTAGTTGTAGGGTGTTATTTTCTTTCAAGCTTTCCGGGAGGTGCTGCTGTCAGTATGTATTTTTAAAATTCGATCTATAATAAGCATTTTTTTATGTATTTTTATTTGTTGTGGTTTAGGTTAGGTTGTTTTATTTTCTGTTCAGGCGTGTACCGATGGTGACTATTATATCTAGTATTTATATAATATATTATATATATTAATTATATATAGTTAGTATACTATAGTACACTATAGTATATAATATTTGTTTAGATGTTATGATATAATACATTTTTTATTCATGTTAGTATCTTTTAGGAGTGTTGTATTTAGGAGGGTTAGGATTGTTTATTTTCATTTTCACACCTCCCGCAGGCCTTTCAATGGGTCCTATCATTATATCTATTATTTAGAATTACATAGGCAATTTCTTTATTTATTTATTTATTATGGTTATGGTTAGATAATTAAGTTATTCTTGTTCAGCATTTCCCGATGCGTGCTTTTCAAGTACTCACATATTTTTCCGATTAATATGCCTTTTTTAGTATTATTTAGAAGGTTATGCGTTTTAGTTTTGTTTATGGGATTATTTTATTGTTTCTTTTAGGCTTCGATGGCTGCTTTTATTTTTAAAAAGATAATATGGCTTTCTTTTATTATGTTATTTTTGGGTTAAGGTTAGTGTTAGTGTTTTCAAGAGTATCTTTCGGTGGTGCTTTCATTATAATTTTTTTTTAGATTATATACCTTTTTTAGTATTTATTTTAAGGTTAGGTTAGTTTAGGTTAATTTATTTTCTTTTC